AAAGAAGCGTGCGGCCGCCGAAGCCTCCGGCAAGCTGGCAACAGTCGCCGACGCCCTCGCGGGCAAGAGGCGCCCAGGAGGTCGGCGATGTCACCGACAAGCTCGCCAGCCTCAACATTGGAGACAAGTCATCCAAGGCTGCGCCTGCCGAGAAGGCGCGCGCTACCAAGCCGGCTGCGCTGAACCTGGCTCCCATCAACACCAAGCCTGTCGAGCCCCCTCAGCCCAGCGCTGCCCTCCAGTCGCTCAAGTCGGCCCGCTTCCTGACGGTTATCAACCAAGACATCTACCCAGCTGGCATCAGCTCTCCCAACCCGGCGTTGAACGCTGCGGTTGCGAAGAAGGGCAAGACCTTCAAGTACGACGCGCAGTTCCTGCTCCAGTTCCAGAAGGTCTTCACCGAGCAGCCCTCCATGGAGTTTCACCATCAGGTTAAGGCCTTGATCGGTGAGGACGGTTCCCGCTCGGCGTCGAGCCCTCGCCCCGGCTCCAGCCGACAACCTTCCAGGTCTGGGGCCTTCACCCCGAGCCAGCCCAACATGGGCCAGTTCATTTCGAACCCGAGCGTGCGTGGCACAACGTCCAAGCAGCGATTCGCCATGTCCAACGCGGCTCTTGCTAGTGGTGCGACGGCCCCTGCGGCCGGCGGCATGGGCTCCTTCGGCCGCACCGGCAGTGGATTCCCCATGGGACCCCCTATCTCCCCCAACGCGTCGTCGTCCAATATCAACCCGTCCAACTCGCGTCGCGGCCCTGGTGGCAGCCAGAGGGGCAATAGCAGGCGTGACAACTTTGGTGCCAAGGAAGCGCAGGCTGCTAAGACCATGCCTCTTACGCAGGGAATGGACCTGAAGCCTATCACCGTTTCCTCTTCGGGTTGGAAGCCCACGAGCCTGGGCAAGGGTCCTGCCGCGGCGGCGCCCACTGGCAACATGGACCCGGAGATGGTTCAGCGCAAGGTCAAGGCTGCACTCAACAAGATGACGCCGGAGAAGTTCGACAAGATCGCTGACCAGATCCTGACTATCGTTGCGCAGTCCAAGACCGAGTCGGATGGACGCACGCTTCGCCAAGTCATCCAGCTGACCTTTGAGAAGGCTACTGATGAGGCCCACTGGGCCTCCATGTATGCCAAGTTCTGCAAGCGTATGCTCGACACCATGAGCCACGAGATTCGCGACGAGAACCTCAAGGACAAGAACGGCGAGGTCGTCAGCGGTGGCGCGCTCTTCCGCAAGTACCTCCTCAACAGGTGTCAAGAAGAATTCGAGCGTGGCTGGAAGGTCAACATTCCCGCCAAGCCCGAGGAGGCTGAGGAGGAAAATAAGATATCCGCCGAAGCCGCCATGTTGTCTGACGAATACTACATTGCTGCCGCCGCCAAGCGTCGCGGTCTTGGTCTTGTCCAGTTCATTGGTGAGCTGTACAAACTGGGTATGCTGACAGAACGCATCATGCATGCTTGCGTGCAGAAGCTGGTCGATTACGAGACGACACCTGAAGAGGCTGAGATCGAGTCGCTTTGCAAACTGCTCAGGACTATTGGTGCCAACCTTGACGCAAGCCCCAAGGGCAAGAGCATCATGGATGCCTACTTTGACCGCATTCAAAACGTCGTCAACATGCCTGACCTTCCCAGCCGTCTCAAGTTCATGCTGATGGACGTTGTCGACATGCGCAGGTCCGGATGGGCCACGAAGGAGGCTAACAAGGGTCCCAAGACCCTTGACGAGGTTCGCGCTGAGGCAAGTCAATAACATGCCCCTCGTTTTCGTGATGTAACGTCAAAGCTAACCGGTTCCACAGGCCGAAGCCGCCGCTGCTCAGAAGGCTCAGGAGAACGCCCGCGGCGGCAGCCAACGTGGTGCCCCAGGCGGTCGTCCCCATTTCGGCCGCGGCGATGCTCGCAGCTTTAGCAACTACACTCAGCAACAATCCAACCAGGTTGGTATGGATGATCTGCGCCGTCTGAAGGGTGCCACCAGTCGTGCGGCCAGCGGCAACGTCACACTGGGCCCTACGTCCATGTTCTCTTCGCGTAGCAACAGCGGTCGACGACTTGGACCTGGCGGCTCGCTGGGCCGCGCTGGTGAGGACTCGAACGCCTCGTCGCGCACGGGAACGCCTCCTACTACACACACGAACGCCTTCAGGTAAGCTTGACCGACGGTTCACATATGCCGTATTACACGTCGCTAACTCACCCCTAGTGCCCTTGCCAACTTGGACAACGATAACCCTGCCTCCCCTCCTTCGACGGCAGCTTCCCCAGCGCTTTCCAAGGCTGTCCCTGACAGCACTGCTGCCAAGGAGAGCAAGTAGAGGAGAGTGGACGGCTAGAGGTTTTGATTTTCCAGAGTCCAACGAACGCATTTCCCAAATAGAACGGGCGAGGTTGTTTTCGTGCATTTACATGGGAGGGGTTTCTGAGGAAGTGTTTTACAAAAGTTGATGATCGTTTCCATCGGCCATGATACCACCTTCGAGACACCGACATAGACGAGCCGCTTTGGGACGATCAGCCGAGGGAGGAGGCGGCGGGCTTATTCCCCTTTTCGCGGAGGGAACGCGGGCTTTCCGTCGCCCTCGGCACTGTTTCACTACTTTTGCGTCTTGCATTTTGTCGTTACGTCGTCTTATTTTCTTCTAATGCGAGCCGATTGATTCGAGGATTGATTCTCTCTGTTTCTTCGTCGTGCTCTGGTACACACGCTGATGGATGATGGCTGCCTGCCCTTCGCCTTCACACTGCTTTCGCGTCTCATGGCAACCGAGCGCGTACGTGCCGTGGAAGAGGGCGACGGGAAGGGACCGGTCGTTGTACGATGAGGTGGTGGTGGTGCGCATTCAGTTTTCCTTCAGTGACCACAAAGAAGAGGGACGGACGGATGGATGCTGGACTGGGACGGTACCTGGGTAGTGAATCCGAATGAGAGAAGGTATGAAGCACGAAAAGCACATCTTTTGAAGATTTTTTTGGGGGGGGGGGCCTGTTGCACAAGTTAGTCGACAAGGACAGTTGAACAAGTGATTTTATCTGAGTCGTCCGCCTCTGCTCTGCTGTGATATCATGCCCGCCCTTGCCCCGAGCTTTATGTGAACAGCCTGCCTGACCCTATGGCATGAAAGCAACCTTCTCAGGTATTCATCTCTCCGAAGATCGCTGGCAAGAGGAGCGAATGGCCGATGGCCTCGTGGCAGGCCATGAAGGACTGATGATTGTCTGCTTATCTTCCGAGAATGTCTGTCGTAAAGACACTTGATACAGTAGCCAAAGCTGAACCCGCGCCATTACCAGTCAATTATCATACCCGTTCGTGACCTGGAATCCACCCCTCAGCCGCTGACGTGGATATCTCACGCAGCTGGCGCCAGAGCCTTGCTGAACCCCAGCTTGGCGAATAATGTGTCCATCGCCACCCATTGTCTGCCGCACTTGTCGAGATATTTCTCAACGACACCCTTGACGGTGCCGAAGCGCACCCGGTTGTGCTCCGCTAGAGCCAAGATATTTTCCCGGTCCGCCTGCGATAGAGCCTCCTCTGAGCTTGGCGCGGCGGCCGCAACGGCCTTGTCGCGTGCCTTGTCGACATCCCAGAGACTGGTGAAGTAAACGAGCTGGTTGTAGATTGCCTTCTCAGAGTACTCATAACGCATACGGCCTAGGCAGTCTCGCGCGAGGCCCTTGGGACCCAGACAGCGCGTGCCGTAGACGTTCATCTGGCGCGTACGTATGCCGCACGATGAGTCGTCGCATATAAGCCAGCCTTCGTAATAGCGGGCTGTCTGGACTCGGATCGCATGCTCTACCTGTGCGACGACCGAAAGGGGGCTGATCGTTGCGCCACAGTGGTCGCAGAGGACGCCAGCGGGAGAGACTCGTGTTGGCTGGCTGTAGAGGCCTTCGAAAACAGACGACTTTTTGCATGTGCGGCAGCGAAGGCTGAGGCGGGTGCAGTCGGCAAAGCGAACATCGTCTGGAATCTGGGACTCGAGAGGATGAACCTCCATATCCTTCTCTACGCCGTCGTCACGTCTCCTCGATGTGTCGTATCGCTTGATGTCCAGCCCCAGACACTCCGCCAGTTGCATCGTCGAGGTGCCGACAATGTTGGCGCAGAGACGCTCCACGGGGGGGAAGATTTGCTTCGCAATGTACCACTCGACATCTGGTGCAAGTCCCGACTCGGGCTTGAGTACATCAGAAGGCGTGTACGCTCGCTTGGGCGCGGGCTCAGAGCTCTGCCCGTCGCCTGTGATGATGTAGCTGATAACGTCGCCCTTGCGAACGTTCTTGCCGCGAGCGATGTCACGAAGCGCGACCTGGACCTGAGGCATCGTGTCGCCATTGCGGTACTCCTTCGGGCCCTTTCCAAGCTGTGTGAAAATGATGTACTTCTGTGCGGGAATCCGACTGTTCCCTCATCTTGGCGGCGAATCTCACGTAGATAGTCGTGAATGCGCGAAATTTGACACCTCTGTGTCCTCCCCAGAGAGGATCTCGTCAAGAAGTTTCCCAGAAATCTCCTTTGATAGCCCACAGTACTCGCGACGTTTCATGTCGAGACCCTTCACTTCCATCTTCTCAATGTACTTGCCATTGTTCTCGACAAGGTTGATGGCAGCATACTTCTTCTTTGCTTGCAACAGAATGCGTCGGAAGACATTATCAATGTCAATCTCAAGCAGCCTGTACCGCTCGTTGACAGCCTTTTTGAACTCGGCGCCGACTTTAAAAGCATCCGCCACATTCTCGACGTTGGCATTGATCATGACGGAATCCGTGTCGCCGTAAATGACTTGGAGAGCTCTGCTCTCGGCCAGTTCCTTAGTGCTTCGGAGGATCTCACGACCTTTGTACGTTGTCAAGACGGCGAGGGGACGGGCGTAAAATCGAGACTTGGTGTAACCCAAACAGCCGTACATGGAATTGGCTGTGAGCTTCAGGGCAAGCTGCTTGATGTCCCAAGTAGCGAGCTGCTCGGGCGTCGCAGTCTTATCCTTCATGAGGCTCTTGACTTGCTTTCTTCTGCTGACGAGCGTGGCAATAAGCTTGGGTAGGATACCTTGCTCTTGGTCCACGGGAACCTCGGGTACTTCTTCCTCATCCTCAAGCTATAAGATAGTTAGCAATACTCTAGCGTTATGCTCTCGATGTAAAGACTACATACTTTTGCGGTTCGATCGACAGTGGTGAAGCAAATGTTGAACTCTTGAATGATGGACGGGTATAGAGAGTTGAAGTCCATGACAAGGACGAACTTGTCGTACAGACCCTTTTCGGGATCAAACACCAAGCCACCCTTGAACTTGTCCTTCTTCTTGCTGTCGCCCTCTTCATCCTCCTTGGCGCCCTTGCCCCTCTGGAAGCCTTGTTTGTCGGGGCAAATATACTTGTTTCGATGAAATTCATGGAGCAAAATGTATTCGTTTCGCTCAGCACGAGTTCCGGTCAGTGTCCTGGCCCAGGAGTTACCAGCCAAGTTCGTGAGGACCTTGGTCAGCGGCAGCAGCTGAACTTGTAAGGCCAGGGCCGCAATGAAGTACGTGTCCGCCTCGATATGGGTGACGTAGTCCATAAATCCTTCCTTCGAGTGGGAAGCCCAGGTCTTGAGCGCGGCATCATTGTCGAGCTCTCGGCGATGGTTGTTTCCCGAGAGATACAGACTGCACATTTCCGTCAAGCTCCACGACTGACACTTGTACATGGCAGATTTGCCGGCATCGTTGGCCAAGTCGCAAAGAAGGCGTCCTGACATGACTTGCCTCTCGGCGAAAACGTTTCCACCAGTCTTTCCAATGGAAGAAGGCCATACAGTTCGTCGCAGGCGACCGAGACGAGACCACTGCGGTGTCTTCTTCTCGTGAATCCGGTTGAGCAGAACGCTGTAATCCACGCCTTCGAGCTGATGGCCCAATATCACGTCAGGATCCACTATGTCGGAAT